ATTGCAGCCTGAGCCCAGGCCACATCCCTCTGACAGAGCACTCCCCTCTTCCTTGGTGTAGACAGAGCTAATAATTAGCTGTCACGATTTAATAATAGAAAAAGATAATCCATGCCACAACACACATGGATTTAACCAATCTTAATTTGGAGGGAAAATAACAACTCGAAATATATCAAATGCAAGTTTTTCCAGACAACCTGCAAGTGAGTTTATCTCGAGTTTCCAGCACAAGCAAGTTATTTCGTCTCTGCTACCGGCCAAGCTAATTTTTTTTTCCCCGCACTTATTTTATTTATTTTTAAAAGTCTGAAACGAAGTCTCAGAGCAGCATGAAAATCCTCCAGCTGATGAGGCGCCCGTTTTCCCCAGTGCATTTTGTCCTGCAATGGGTCACCGGGACTCCAAACCGAACCCCCTGTCCGTGCCCTGCCTGCTGCCTGCACCGCCCTCCGCCCAGGCCCACCCTGGCCTTCGGGGTTCCGGAGGAAGACTCGTGGGCGGGCGGGAACTGCCTGCCACCTCCAGCCCAGGGGGACCTGCCACCTCCTGTCACCCGCTGCCTGTCTCCTGCCTGTCTCCAGAAACCTGACATTTGGGGTCTGGGGGGAGGAGGAAGAGAAGGCAAAAGGCAAAGCTCTGAGTGACGGCTGACGGCTCATTCCTCCCGTTACAGCTTCGTTTGGTTGTGGAAGGGGGGAGAGCACGCAAGAACCAGTTACCTGTGATCAAGAGCCCCCCCTCCCGGGGCTGTGAGGTGGGAATTCTAAGGAGGGATCGCGAGGACGTGGCTGACAGAGCCACGGTACACATCCAAGACGTCCACTGAGGAGAGCAAACACCTCGTGCACCAAGCAGGGTCCCCGCCCTCCCGAGTGTGGCTTTTTCAAAGTCTCCCCTTTGCCATCGTCTACTTTAACTCGGCATGTGCTGGGAAGTAGGTGCAGACGTGGAAACTGAGGCCCAGAAAAGTGACTTGACTTTCCTGGGTCCAGCCAATGCCCAAGCGAGCCCTGGCTCCTTCGACCCCCGAGACCCTCCCAGGGCAGCACACCATGAGCTCCTCGCCCCAGGACAGCAGTGTGACCAGGACGGGGGCCGGCAGGGTGGGGACACATAGGGCAGCACCACAGTGGTGCTGAAGTTGTTTCTGATGGCGGGATTCTCAGAACCCCAGGGAACGATGGGGCGGGGCAAGGGGAGGGCGCTCACATGTGTGGCACATGTCACTTAGAGTCCCCATTACTGTCAGGTATGTCCCCAGATGCGGGCACCGCAGCTTAGCGAGGCCGGCAGGCAGCCGGTGGCACACAGCTGGCCTGGGTGCTTTTCCAGGCAGCAGGCCACAAGCCCCACAGCCCCCTAAGCTCCCTTTCTCCTCACCCCTCCTCGAAACGCCCACCCCGGACAGCGGCTCAGGGACCCCTGCTCCGTGCAAACCCTGGAACCTCCTGCTGGCCCCTCCCAGGGTCTCATCTCCCCTTGACGGATGCGCCCAGAGCTCCACCAGAAACCTCAGCGAGGCAGGGAGAGGCCGCAGGAAGGGATCTTAAGAAAGGGAAGAACTCCATCGGCTGGCGGGTACCAGCATCAAATGCCTTCCTCCGACTCGGACCTCTAAGCCAAGGTCCTCACCGTGACCAGCTTCACCTCTCTGTCCCCAGATGGGACACACGCACCACGGACCTCCTCGCCCAGCGTGGACGCTCAGGGAGCAGGGCCTGGGCCGGTAGCTCCACACATCAAGGGCAGGGACTTAACCGCCTGCACTCTGGCCACGTTCCCCACGCGGGAGAGAGCAGCAGCCCTGACGGCCATCCTCCCACAGCTCCGGGCCCCTAGGACTCCACCACCGCGGGGAAGGGCAGTAGGCGCCCAGTTGCTGAATGAATGAACGGATGGATGGATGTTTGAATGAATGAATGCCCTCAAGAGACAAAGCTTCAGAAACTTCCTCCTTCCATTCTCCTATTTCTCTACCATTAAAAAAATAATAATAATAAAAAGGAAGAGTAACGAATCCTTCCCTACCCATCCCCAGAATTACTGTCCAAGAAAGGGTGATCCCAAGTCCCGCCCCGGTGCGATGACTGACAGAATCCCAACGTGGTTCTCACTGGGGGTGCCCACAGGAGTGGAAGGGACCCCGAATAGTGACAAGCCAGCCCTGCCCATCCATTTCTGGGTCAGAGCTTCCGGAAGCACCTGGCAGCGAGGGGGACAACACGCAGACTGCCCCCCAGGAAGGTCACCACGCCTCTGGCCACCACGAGCACCTCACCTCAGACACCAAGCCAGAGGCGAGGCCCCAAGAATGAACAGCCACCGGAGAGGCCTGGGCGCGGCCAGGGGAGCCAGTGGCATGGGCAGCAGCTGGGCGGGGTTCCGGGAGCCCGGGGGGAGCCGCGCCTGTGGCTCCTGGCCCCCCTCTTAAAATCTAAAGGCTCAATTATCTCTGAGCAGCTTGCTTTACACATGAATTGACACATTTATTTTACAATAAATAACTGAAAGTTATCTGTGTTTCCTTTACTGTTAATCTACACGGAGAAATAATAAACAGGGCTTGTCGACAGAAATGCAACCGCTGCAGTCCTCAGAATTCAATTACGCTAAAATAATTAATGCTCCCACCATATTAAATTACTTTATACATTTGAGCCCCTGAAGTTTTATTCTCTAATCTTCCCTTTTTATTAAATAATAATAATAAAAAAAAAGAGAAGTTGGTGCCAAAGTAGGAAGGGAAAAGGGGGGACAAGAGAGAGAAGAGCGAGGCGGGCTGTCGAACGGACGGCCGTCTCCGGCTGGCAGGGCACGGAGGCTGTTTTGTGCCCTTGATTAAAATACCACTTTAAATGCTCTGAACAGACCCATCTCTTTAGCCTTCTAAGGGATTGTTTCACATGTTTCTTCAGGAACGGAGAAAACCATTCGTCCTGTATCTGAACAGAAAAGGCCGCGAGTACCTTTGGTCACATAAAGCAAAAACATTGGAGGCTGCTGCTCTATTACCACCTACAACCAAAGCGGGGGAGGGTGTAGGGGAGGGAGACACAGCGCCTTGGAGATTAGTGTGGCCTTTTGTGAAATCATATTTAGTCTCTTTCTTAAATACACATACTCTCCGTGGTCGGCAGCCTCTCCCTGGAAAACACCTGCCACCTGAAATGCGGAATCAGAGGGCTTCTGGGAAAAGCAGGAAGCCGGCCCCCGGCGGAGCCCCCCAGGGGTCGGTGGGCACCGATGCCAGGCGCTTGTACCGCTGGGGAGAACCATCTTCGCACATCCGATTGAGAAAAGAAAGGGTGGGGACCTCCACGGCACAGACAAAGGGACCCAGCACTGTTCTCAGACTTAACACAGGAAGCACCACTCAGATCTGCACGGAACTCGAAAGCTAGGGTCTCCGTGACCGTGGCCTGGGACATTTTCCTCAGCGCCCTTGGTGCCGTAGGAGTGTGGGAGCTCTCCTGCTGGGACACACACCCGAAGGCAAGGCCCAGAGGCCAGCGTCCCCAGCGCAGACCGCCACAGTCTCCCTGCAAGAGAGAGCTAGCTCACTGATCCCATTTTACAGATGGGCAAAGTGAGGCCCACAATCGCACGGCTGCTCCAGAGAAGCTGGGCTCGCTGTATTACCGCACCCACTGCCTCCTGGTGGCGGGGGGGATCTCTAAACACACACCCACCCATCTCACCTGTGGGCTTACCTGGCTCACCCTCCAAGGGGCACCAAAGCCTCAGTCCCTCCAACCTCCCCACTAGCTTCCATGACCAAAACACGGTGGAGACGGATCCGCACATTTTCCCAGCCGGCCACCCACACCTACTTGCACACCGCAGCACAGAGGGGACCGCCCCAAAGAAAAATTCCACTGGCAAAGCATTCACGGAGCCGCTGCTCGTGTAATCCTCATGCAGGCTTGCCAGTGTCATCACTCCTGCTGACCGACGGGGAAACTGAGGCAGGGGCCCAGGAGCGACTTGTCCAAAGCCAACCATCAGGATTCGAACCCTCATCTGCACCCGATCTGATGCCATATGGCTGTGAGACAGGCTGCCGCTCTCGGGGACACGGGCCGGCCAGAGCCCCGCTTTGTCCCCGAGGTCTCCTGGGCTCAGAAGGATGAACCAGAGCAAGCACTCTGGTTTGCACAGAGCCTGGGCCCCGTGGAAGAGGATCTGGCAGGCCATGCCAGGGCCTGGAGAGAGGGACTCATGCAAAACCACGTGATGAGCAGACTGGCCGGAGACCACAAGCCCCATACCTGTTGTTCAGGCGGAAAGAACCAGTGGTCCAGGTGGCCAGCTCAGTCGGCGGACCAAAGGGCATGCCCAGCCTCCCCGAGGGGCACAGTGCTCCAGCAAGTGCCCACAAGCCCTTCCCAGACCTACCCACGGGGACAAAGCAGTGGCGGAAGGAGCCTCTTTGCACAAATGGGAAACGGAGGCCAGAGAGAGGAGGGGGAGAAAAGGAGCGACCCCATTCATACGTGCCCTCCAGGGACCGCCCCCATGCAGACCCCCCAGCTCACAACAACCCTAAGGAAAGAGGTGTCGCAGGCTCCATTTCACAGATGCAGACACGGATCAGGCCGAGTTGTGAAGCACAGGTTCCAACCCAAGACTAGGGCTCCACAGCCAGAGACGGAGCTATGAACCACCGCACCGTGAGGCCCAGCCAGACTTCCAGGCTCCCGTTCTGCACTCCTGGCCACCTGTACACGAGGCCATACCTGTGCCGCGCCCCCTTGTCCAAAGCAAAGCAACCATCAGCCAGTCGGGCCGCCCTGAACCCTGGGCCCGTCTCCTCCTGAGGGTCACCTGGACGGTGGGCCTTCGGAAAGGGCGAGCCCAGCGGGTGGCCCAGGGACCATCCTGGGCAGCTCCCAGGCCATCCCGGCACCGGCACCCGACACAGCCAGGGGTGAAGGTGGGCATGGGACACGGGGGGGGAGTGGCTGGGGCAGCGGCCGGGCGAGTGCGACGTGCCATACCTGCCATGTTCTCCTGCTTGGGGCAAATGCCTTTCGTGGGCGAGAGCAGGTGGTCGTCTTCATCGGGGGTCACTTGTATCCCGATCTCCACCGGCTCGGACACTTTCCTGAGCTCGGAGCGTGAGGAGGGCGGCGGGCTGCCCTTGTCCAGGCCTTTGTCATAGCAGGTGCCCAGGCTGCCACCACACTGCTTCTTCTTGTGCTCTATAAAAACCAGGATGTCCCCCAGGGGGAAATTCATCTGACACTGTCCACAGGTGAGCAGGTCAGGGTCGGGGCCACCCACCAACAGCCCCAGGCCGCTGGGCTCCTCTATGTCCAGACCCTCGTCTTCTTCAAGGATGGCAGCCTCCACATGGTCAGCCTCCGCTGCAGAGAGAGAGGAAAGAGGGGCAGAGAAGACAGAGATGGGCTTAGGCAGTCACAAGCACCCCGCCTGCATTCCAACCCGTCCCCACCTGCAGGCAGGCCCCCTCCGCTGCGGGACGCCAGAGCTCGCCACGTCCTCCCCCGGACTCCCGGAGGCAGGGGTACACCACCCCGAAGGTGGGCGGCCGATGGGCAAACTGAGGATCTGGGAGCAACTGCATGGCTCCCTGAGCTGGTGGCTGGCTTAAGCAGGGCTGGCCTTACTGCTTCCTGGTGGATTCTCTGCCAACCCCCACCCCCACCCCACAGCGTCCGAACACACATGCTGGTTTCACAAGCGATTCAGCCATCCCAGATGGGGCGCGTGTCCCTCGAAATTTGCAACATCTGAGGGTCACCCGGGGATCTTGGAAAACCTTCCACGCCCAGGCCAAGGACCCTGAGAGCCAAACACCCGGTGGTGGCGGTGGTTGGAGCTCCCAGGTGATGCCGATGGGCAGCCAAGGCTGAGAGCCAGGAGCCAGAGCCCTCTGGCCCGGCGGGGGCTCTCCCTGCCGCCCCCCTGGCCTCCACCTTCCATTCATGGCTTCCCCATTCATGCGAGTCCGACTTGCATTCCTCTACCTGAGACCTGGCTGCACACCAGGCGAGAAAACAGAAACGCAGGCGGCCGTCAGAGGCCCAGGCCTGCTGAGAGAAAGGAGCCCGCGTGCCCAGCAACAAGTGAGTGTTGGTTCCAAGAGAAATATCAAAAGGAAGAGCGAGGCCGGGAAGGGAAGGGGCCCTGCAGGGCAGCAGCCGGGGGTTTCCCAGCACTCGCCAGCCGCCCCTGTCCCGTCCATGTGCCTGTTGGTGTCACTCTCGCTCCCAGAAAAAGAAAAGGGGGAAAAATCCTTCAGATTCCAGAGGCATTTCTGGGCAGATGACAAACCACACTTTCAATGGGTTCCGTACATTTTCCCATTTCTTTAGCAGCCGATACACTTCCGTATTTTTTGTGTGTGTGTAAGGGGCATAGGACACAAATATTTTGAAACCAATAAATACCTCGGAAAGCGGCAACCCCCTCGGGGGACACTGGGACACTCGGCAGCAGAAAAGGTGTCATAAATCAGGGACGGGCACAGGGAGCTGCGCCCTCCCTCCGGGTCTGAGTGAATTCGAGGTGGAGATTTTTGAGAGCAAATGGCAGTGGTCGGGAAGATGGCACGAGTGTCGGGGTCCTCAGAGGTGGAACACCCGGGGTGGGGGGAGGGCAGGTACATGTTAAGCTGTGAGCCGTTTAGAAAGGATCGGGGAAACCGCAGGAGCACAGAGGGAAGGAAGGGAAGGGAGAAAACACATTCCGTGGCTGTGAAGTTATTGGCGGGCCCGAGCCAAAGAACAGATAATTTCAGGGAAAAATCCTGTGGCATCTCTCATCCTATACATAAATCACTGCTCTGTGTTTTCTGAAACACGGGCTTCTTTCGGGGCCTGTGCGCGTCCGCGTGCAGGACTGAGTCCACGGTCGTTGGAACATGGCACGGAACACGTATGAAACACGAGTGTGTGGGTCCTCGAGTAGGTCCTGCTGAGAAGGGAGGTGGGTGGCTGAGACCCTGCCTGGGGTTCTAGGAAAGCAGACTGAGCCTCCCATGAACTGAACGTAGACACGCATTCGAAACGTGGCCCCACAGAAACACCCCGCAGGTGAGGAATCCTAAACCTGCGCCTGCCTCCCTCCGACAGAAAGACCCTGGAAGGTACGAGAGGCACCTTTCACAACGCCTGCCCCAGAAACCATTCATTACGCTTTAAAGAAGAAAAGGGAGGTGACTTGGGAAGGAGCTGGAAGACAATGCTACGTAATTAATTTACCAATCGGTTTTATGAAAAGATGCCTTGCTCCGGTGAAAATGGAATCGCCACCCTCCCACCCCATGCAGTTCCGGGGAGGCGGGGGGGCCTGGGTTCCCGTGAACCGTTCGTCAGGACGGAAAAAGGTAATTATTCGGAGCCTCTTTTCCCTTTAATGATCTAACATTGAGCAATACTGTTTGTATTGAAAAGCTCACACCTTTAATTACCAATTACATATACATAATTTCAGAGCCAAAGGAGAGGGCTATGAAAACAGCTCTTTAGAAATATCAGGGCGGACTCTGCGCCATGTCTAGAGAAGGACTCTGATACATGGGAGGAGGGTGTCAAAATATTGTTTTGTTCAAAGAGAGAGAGGCACAAAGGAAATGATCTGAAAGAGGGGAAAAAAAAGGACAAAATGAAATTGAGAATGCCAATGAAACGGGTGAGTTCCTGGTGGGCAGGGTGGGCGGCCCCTGTCCCCTGGCGAGAGGCGGGCCTGCCCAGGCGGGCGGGGCACCAGCCTGTCACTCAGGCCATGTGCTAACAGTGAGCAAGGACGAAGGAGGCCGGTGTGCGTTCCCCAGCATGGCCAGGGGGCCAGGCGGGGCCTCCTGCTGTCCATGTCACCTCTGGTCCCCTTCCTTGCTGTGTGCTTTGCTTTCATGAACTTTTTCAGCCTGGTCCCTGGCTCCCTGTGCAGTTCTAGGAAGCACACCGCTCTCTCTCGCTCTCTCTGCTCGGGGGGGGGCGGGGGGCGGGGGGAGCTACGTAATTTCAAATCCTGTTGTAATTCGAAAGAAACACGGGTTCATTTAAAAATTAGCAAGGGTGCATGCGCTGTTTGCAAGCATACTTCCCTCTCCCTCCCGTCTGTGCACCAGTTCTGTCTTCCTTGTCCTCCCCCCCACCTGCTTTTTTTTGGGTAACATCTGTAAGCCTTCCTGGACTGAGAGGTCTCTCTGCCTTCCCCTTCCTCCTGCGCCAGCCCCTCGAGCCCCAGTCACTGAGTTTGAAAGTCTCCCACTCCGTTCGCTGCGCGGCAGTTCAAGGTTCCGCCTCCAGTCCCCTCACAGCCACAGACAGCCGGGCAGCCGGGCCCACTGGCGAGCCACAGACAGCTCTGAACCCATGCCCACCTCCTGACCCAGGATCCAGCTCAGTGCCTCCAAGGGAGGCCAGGAGGCCAGGAAACACCCACCAGAAAGCCTCCCTCCCCCCACTTCCAGTGTTGAAAGTAAAACTCCAAGTGAAGAGGGCATTCACCCCGCCCGACCATGGGGTTCCCTCTCCCCGCCTCCTGGGGCGTGGGGCCTGCTGCAGGAGACACTTCCCAGGACCGTGGCCATGGCACCCCCAAACTGCTGAATGTTTGGGTCAGAGCGGGTAGACCAAGACGGCCTCCTGAGCCTTAAAACTTCACACCCAAGGCCTGGGAGACACCCCAACGTCGGGCTGTGGTTTCATTTCCGCTGGCAGGCGGATACCAAGCTGGGTGTGCGGAGCGCATGTGTGCGTCCCTTCTCAGAACTGCATCACTGATGGGAGAAATAAAAGGGGAGAGAGGCACCTGGCCAGGCTTAGAGAAGGGCCGAGTGGGGCCGCGCCTGGCCCCTTGGAACCCTGCTTCCTCTGTCCCGTGGGCGCCCAGCCGCACAGCTGGGCACCGCCTCAGAGAACCAGCCTGTGCCTGCCAGGCAGAGCGGTCCCAACTGCCACCCAGAGACGAGAAAGCACCAGGAAAGATAAAAGACACCGTCAAACCAAGGCAGCTTTTTGAATGCCCGGGCCCCGCAGACCAGCCCCTGCCTTGCCGGGCCAACCTGGGCCCCCGTGAAAGCGGAGGTGTGCCCTCCGGGGGGCTGGGGGCTGTGCTGGAAGCTCCCCGCGTCGGGCAGCCCTGGAAAACACTGGTGCTCTCGCTGTTGTGGGCCGAATAAGGTAGAGAGATTGCTACACTGTCTGATTCGTTAAGAGGAGAGAGGAATGGATGCCCAGGGCGCTGTCCCAAAGGCACACGTCGGCCTGGGGTGGGTCCCGAAAGGTTAAATCCTAAAGTGCACGGCCAAACGGTACATATTTACAGACACACACACAGCACGTCCATCCTCTTTTACAACAAAACCGCATTTTATTTACAAGGCAGGGCCTCCTCCCAGCTGGTGAATGCATTTAGAGGCAATGAAGTCAGGATTCACAAATAATAATGGACATTAAGTGCACGGGGGAAGCACTTGATCCTCAGACAAACTCCCGCGCCTCAGCTGGGCTGCGAAGGAATTTGGGCAGCAGACGGAAAGGGAAAGGCATGGTTAACTCGGGCCCAGCCAGGCCGCCTACAGGCCCCCAGCGGCTGCTCGGGCTTAGCCGGGCCTTACCTGGCCGGTGATCCCCCCACGCAGGACTCCCTGGGCCCCGCCCACAGGGTGGGTCTCTAACAACTGCCCCTGCACCTGCCCTCCCCGGAATTCCAGCCGAGAGGGAGAGGCGGGCGCCTGCGGTCCCAGGAGCACCTCTGCACACACAGCTGCGTGCCCCTCACCCTGCAGTGATTCAAACCCAACCCTCTGTCTTCCATGGCTAAGCCACAATCCGGGAGGAACATACACAGAATTACTGTCTCAGGAATGGGGGGCGGGGGGGGGCGGGGGATACAGGGAAGGATGTGGGGGGAGGGGTGCAAGGATCTTAAAATCGTGTGCCACCCACGTCATCGCAGCCACCCTGATGGGGACCCGTGTTTACAAGGACTGTGCAGCATCCACCCAGCCAGCTCGGCACCCACCCGGCACCCAGCACCCGACTAGAGCCTCCACACCTGCTCCCTGAGACCCGCGCCCATTTCCGAATGAATATCTGCGGAGGGGTCGCTTCTGTCCCTCCCGGGAACCTCCAGGGAGGGGCCCGGACTCCCGGCGACCACGCGGAAACGCAACCGGCACGTGCACTCCGCGGAGCACAACACATTCTGAGCTGCCATCAATTTTTAATTTATTGGATCCAAGAGAAAATAACAACCTCGGCGAGGCGGGAGGGGGGAGCGGGGGATGGGAGAGGGGAGGAATCGTTCTTGGTGAAGAACATGATCTGTGACTGGATGACGCTTTAAGGCGCAGCAAGAGGCTCGATGAAGTTCCCCCAACACAGGGCAGAGG